ACTATGTTAGAAACTTTACACGTACTGTCAATTAGTTGGTAGTTACCATCAGGTAAACTGTTTTACTCTCAGGAAAAATAAGACATGACCATGTGTCATTCCTACTGTTTGAGCACAACGGATATCTTCTTAGAGCTGGAACGTCCTATGCTGTTGGGTTTGCAAATTTTCAACTTTAAAATGTTGAATTTAACTGACCCATCCCAGTGCGAATCCCACTCGAACCTGCCAAAACTGCAATTGGACGGTTTTTAAATATTAGATATGTCAATATTACTTTCATCTTGAGTGTTTTAGACCACTGCAACGGTAGGCAAATCGTTTACGACGTTAACCTTTCGAATATTTGCACTACGGCCAAAGTTAATTATTTGGGAGAAGGAGAACGCTATTTCTCATTTACCATTTGTATCACAAAAAAGACCGAAATAATAATACTATAGTAAATAATCCAAAACTCACGCTGACAAAAATCCAGCAGGGGTTAACCGTGACTAGTCGTCAGATGAACAACCTATGGCAGAGTGACATATCAGGCCACAGTTTGCCATTTAATCTCCCAAAACGTCAAAAATGTACCATGAGTGGAAGCGCAGAAAAGGAACTTTGATATTTTGCATGAAGTGGGCGGTTGTGTTACAGATGCCTTATTAAAAAGGATTCATCGAAGCCAGCATCTCCGACATCAGATTTAGCGTGCTATCCGGCCAAGAAGAACCATGTGACCGGATTTTACACTAAGGAATTAGCTTCATTACTCAAGATTCAAAGTGTAGTCTCGGTGGCCGATCAAGTACTACAGAATGGGGAATAAGAATCTCGTATAACGTGGATAGGGCGTTCATTGCAGACGGGTGCAAAGATGTATGTCTGCATGGTTAACGACTCCAACCATGCTGTTTTTACACGGCGGTAATTGGCCGTCTGTTCCTGCTATCTCCTACAACCATTGTCGAAACAAATCACCATAATTTTAAGATAATCTAAAGTTCCATGAATAGCAATGTCAATTACTATGGTCGAAAATTCGTCACGGGTCGAAATACACCAGTGGAAATATTAATGGTCCCTGTCAGTAAGCCCAGTAGGATAACAGTTATTAATTCGATCTCTCCATAGTGTTGGATGACCATGTTATTCGCCATGTATTCTTTGTTTGGTAAAATAATTGATGCCTTTTAAACTTCCACCTCGCCCTTAAAACCCTCGGCTCCATATTAAAGCAAACGCAGACATTTAAATTTAGGAGTGATTATAATGTATTGAGGAGAATTCGATTTGCTTACTTGTTCACCTTTGAATTTATGCAATGAAAATTATGACACATGTTTCCCATGGCGCCTAGTATAAGCCTTACCATAGCGAACTGAGGCTCATTTAAAAGGAAAGGCGCATATGCATTCGATCTGAGCCAGCAACATCCAATCGGTAAATCCACATACCCAGATATCATGGAAAGTTGTTTATTTTTTACTTCAAATGACCTGCTTTATTTTTCTAAACCAAATTGTTTCTTTTCATTTCCGAAATTTTCCCATTAAGCTTTACATATCAAAGTGACATTTATTACGACCTCTAGATAGAATCTTGATTTCGTTCGCCTTATTTAATAGCCCTCGTTCCCTGCGAATAATTTCTTTTAATGACGACATCAACGTGTCGAAAGGTTACTTTCTTTTCGAGACTGACCGCAGTGGTTGGATTAAATGTAGTTGATTTCATCATTCATCCTCATGAAAACGCAGTTTATGCATGCGCAGTTTATTTCGTTCCTGATAAATTGTCCAAAGCCTAATTACTTTCACTCTATAGCCAGGATTAAGGCATGGTCGACTACAAATACAGAGTTGGTCGGTAAAAAGCAATTTGGTCGGTGTTTGTCAAGCCGCAATTCTGCCGCATGTGACTGTATAAAGGAGGGGGCCGCAATATATCCGTGGCAGACAAAATGATGAAGTAGCTATGCCCACTCTCTCTTTCTGCATACTAACCCACAACCGCGTTAGCATGGCTGCTGTGAAATCAAGACATCATACGGGTATTAGTTGTTGGCGCCTCCATCACGGTCTACCTAGGCCCGTTTTGCTTCAAGCTACGAGAAACCCAATCGCGCGTCAAACTCTGATTTAATTTGGCTGAACTAGAGACAGAGAGAGAGGAAGAAGGTGAACCGAATTCTCGAAAGACCAATGAGTACGAGGGTGCGAGAGGCCTTGAGTGTCGTTGGTTAAACATGGTGGTATTGAGGCATGTGGTGGAGTTTATAAGCGGATTTGAGAGTCATTGAGCCAGGCCATCCGATATTTCAACGTATTCGACGGTTTGCACAAAATCTTCGCAATTACAAGTGTCCTTAGGGAAGACGAACTAGTACTCGAACTCGTTTCAATTACTGACCTAACCAATTACATCTGAACCATTTGCCCAGTGTAAGTTTCATAACATTGTTTTTAAGATTAAATGGATGGACTCATGTTAGTCCTAAGTCCAAATAACTCATTAGCTTCCTTGTAACCAATTCTGTCAATATGAGGAAGATATGTGGGCCTCATGTTTGTACTCTGTTGATTACTGATTATCCATTTGACGGTCTATAGTGTTTGCCGAAAACATTTTTTGCGTGAACATTCACTTACAATGAACAGCAAAAATTCCTGATTTTCGCAGGTTTTCAAGCTAGAAACGTTGAAAACTGTCATCGGACTACCGCTGGACTTAGGCATTCCCAAATAAACAGTCACACACCAAAAGTAATCTCCATATGCGGGGCTAAATATATACGACCAGTCAGAACGTTGAGCGTGTTCGTGTGCGGTTATTTGAGAGTCAGCAACTGAGGGCTTACCAGTGATAATTGTCGAGTTGTACTTTCTAGTGGTTTGGTCCAGTGGTCCAATGACTGTCATGTGTGACATGTGGAGTCATAATGTCTGGGTAGGAAAGGGCCATAAAATGGTGGCGAAAGCGAATTCATTGTTGGGTGTTTACGTTGACTTTATCCGATGAAGCGCGCGATTGCCCTTTTTGCAGAATGGCCGACAGTTCTCCCCGAAAATTCTTCCCCAAAGTTGACGATGGACTTCCTGATATTGAAGACGTTTCACGTCGAACCTACTGCTCCCTCATTTGCCTCACCTTGCTGAGTTACTTGTCGTCTTTATTGGAACATTAACCCACACATAGTCTGAGTCATGCTTGCCTTCTCCGAAGCCTTATACCTCTGCTTTATGTGCGCCGTCTCATCATCCAACTTTAGCGTACTATTAGACATCGATTCATCTTCAGAGCGAACTAGGAAAGGCGTTCTTTGCTGCAAATTATCGAATACGTCAATTGCCATGTGTTATGCATGTGGTGCGTGATCAGTCTGTCTAACAGTGAGGACTTTCGGACGAAACATGCTCCCACCAACATCATCGAAAAACTAGCAGCTGATTACGAACCCGCGAAGAATGTACTGGCCTAACATTCACTACACACACCAGCAGCAGTTAGGAAGGATTAAGCAGGCGATCATTTTGAGGCAAATTGCATCCTTTTCCGTTTATGCAAAGCGGAAGTTTCTATGTTCCATGAGTAGAGTACTAACAATTTGCAAGTCGCGGTCGATTGATACAAAGTGTATATTAATCTGGCCGATGGCGCGCGAACTTTAGATTTGTCGGTTGATTCTACATCGATTATGTCAGCTTCAGAAGTAACCTGAGTTTAGCGCAGTCGGTCATTACGATGGCAGAAAGCTTTTATTGTGTCATTAGCGATTTAATTTAACTATTCGACCAAATAAGCTGAGTCCAATAGGTCCTGCCTTTCCTGATAACATTATTTTTTAATTCGATTTGCATATTTCCCTTGACCTACGGGGTTACTCACATTATCATCGTCGTTGAAAACTCCAACTCTGCCACTGTGCACGTACGCCTCTTGCGTCAGGTCACTGCAGAACGCCCATAGTTATACAGAAGCATGGGGACGCCAGTTTTTCGAGTAACTGATCTTCTACTAACTAATACCCTCCTGCCTTCTAACCTGCCACGACTTACATAATCATAATAGCATAAACGACAAAGACAAGGGAGATAGAAGTGAAGAGACGAGTTCCAGGAAGTAGTCGCGAAGAAGGAGATACGATCGACGGGCCAAGAGCTTTATTAGACTCATTAAAATGGCCATCTCTAACTTATTAGCTGTCGCAAGCCATTCATACCCAACACCGAAGTGTGAAACACCTGGTGCTCGGTCACCGGACCTGTTGGTTAAAAGCCCAACCCCCTTAACACTGAGGCATAGGCTCATCGTCCTGTCGGTCGGGATAGGGTATTTACAATGGCAGAGGAAAGTTTACCGATCGCACGTGGGAACTCACTTATCGCGTTGTGAGTTGGCACACTCTCTCAAGTCCCGCCCAGGTTACGCGTCGCTTTGCCACTACTGATGGGGCTTGAAAGAGAGCACCAAGGGACATCGCCAGAGCTGAGTTCTGCAACACGTTCAGTGAGCTACCACTGTATTATTTGTTCTTTCAACATAGCGTTGCGTTCTGTGAGTCAAACTGCGATACCTATGTTTTGACGATTGTATAATTTTTTTAAAGCCTACAAACATCAAAGAGAACAGCAAGAAGTTCTACCGAAACTCCGGACGTTATGGCTGCAAAAAAGACTATCCCGTTTACTGCAATTGTATTCATGATCATCGTTACTCTTTTTGCATACTATATTCTCAAACTTGCAAAAGAACCTCCGCGTACAAATCGAATATTTCATCCTCCCAAGAAAAGACTGCACCAGCTCAAATTACAGGACTTTGTGGTGGATAGTGGTCGCATAAATGCGAAACGGGAAGGACTTCCAAATCTTGAGAATCTACCATGGCCGGAACGGGAATTTTTAACAATTCCGATGGGTGCAACAGGAAACAGTATAGATCCTATGGGAGCCAAATTCAGTCGTGCGCAGATGCGCACAATGTTGAATCTGCTAAGCATATTTGCAAATGCTATGGAGGAGATCGGTGCCAGTGACAGGTGGATGATCTACTCCGGCAGTCTCATTGGATCTTTTCGTCACCATGATATCACGCCATGGGACGATGATGTGGATGTTTTGGTGGACTTGAGTGTTAAAACTGCGCTATGGCGACAAATTCAGAAGCTAAAACCCCAAATCTACATAAATAGCGCTGGACTCAGAGACAAGATTTACGCAAAACTGATTGAACCGAACAACACACTGCAGGATGTTGATGGTAGTCGCAGGCTAGGTGCTCATCCCTGGGGTTGGCCCTACGTGGACATCGGATACTACAGTTCTAACGCTACCCACATCAGGGAGCTGGCCCGATCCTATGGTCGAACATATATCTACGCAAAGACTGATGTATTCCCACTGCTTTTAAGACCATTCTACACGCAGTGGGTTCCGGCGCCAAGAAACACGTTTGCTTTTCTGCAACAGTCCTACCCCGACAATATCCACTGCTCTGCCCTCGGCTATTTTCATCCCCTGGAAATCCATACGAAAGGCCACACACTGCCGTGTACTGAATTGGCGGACCGATATGCCTTCGTTGAGCGCGTATCTTTTAACAACTCATTACAGAAAGTGAGTGATAGTTCAAATGATTTGGACTGGGTCCGCGAACGACTGATTCGCGGCGGCGAGGTGATACATGAAATTGACTTGGTCGCGCCTCAACGGGAAGGCTTCGTAGATACCTACGTGCTACAGATGAGGCCGCAAGAGTGATTCAGAGAGCACTCTTTGACAGAGATTCTAACTGTTGTTGCACCAATGGCTGCAGTGTACACTGACTATTTGTTGGGTTCTGGAAAACGTGTTATGTACCGTACAGGTTTTAACATTATCGAGAGTTTAATAAAATTTGCGAAGAGTTGTATGGTGGACTGGATGAAAAGCGCAATGTAATTTATCAAAAAGGTAGGAAATGCGCATGAAATTTACTATAACAAACTTTTTTGTCTCAGGCATAATTCATGCTTTGAAGGATTTTAAATGTGAAAGTATTGTAACCCAAACGTGGATTTAGAATTTTACATGTTCAGACATTTGTCTACCCGGAACTGTTATGATGCGCTGAATTCCTTCGTTATGTACCCTCCATTTTGGCAAGCCGAGGGTTTGCAGCACTTTCAGCCGTCTATCTTTGTCACATCTATACCTGGTGCCTGCTTTATGGCAGTATGGCTGATGGAAGGGGTGAGCCGACTCTCTATTGGCTCAATGATCCCGGGTTTGTCATTAGTGTCTAAGGTGTCAGCCACACAATCTTGGCCTTCACAATGTCCAACTGTGTAAGTCTTTTGGTTAATTAGCAGGTCGCCCATTCGAATCATAATGTAAGGCCAGTCTGCTTGGCGAACCCGTGCATTACGGTGTTTGGACTGAAAGATAGGTCGGCGCTCTTTAGGGATACGTTCACGAGGTCAGTGTTTCGTGTCATGGAACCACACACGGTTGGTCTTTACTTATATACGCAAGGCGGTTTGGAGTTTATTTGAATTATGTCGTTGCCATGCCGTCCCTTACTTCATATTCGGCGGCGAGATTTAGTCTAGGCAAGGAGAAAGGGCGAATAGCCAATGTCCCCGGTATATATCTCGTCGTTCCATTCACACAACAGTCTACATGGATGACGAACCCCGGTAGTCAACCCCTCGGCAGTGAGCTATTAGCGTCGGAGCCGATTATCCTGACTAACCTACAAGCGCATAGCGACGGCATGCAACGGCCCAGAAACTGCATCCTTTAAATAATGCAACAACTGGGCGATATACCATCCTCATCTACTCCGTCTCTGATGATTGATTAGAGTGAGAATCCGAATTGTCAGGCTAATAAAGCTCTTATCCCAGCGATTGTGTCTCCTTCTTCAAGACTACTTCCTGGGACTCGTCTTTATCGCCTCTATTGGTTATGAGTATGGATGACTTTATAGCACTTGAGACACCTATAAATACTGCCAATTTTGTATATTTTCATTCCTCCGTGTAAATGTATTGACCTGACGAAGAATTATCGAAAAAAACATATTTGCCAACTTGACTTTTAAAGTGTAACATGGATATAGTTGCGGAACGTAGACATTTTTGAGGAGTTAATCATTCCCGGTGGTCGTTGTTTTGGTCAAACACTAGTAACGTAATATCAGCACCTGGCCCCGAATGACGATCGTGCGCACTACGCGCACTTTACCTACAGCGTTCACACCCCACCTCCACCAATCTCCCACAACCTAAAATGACCACAAGACGCGGACTGCGGCATGCGGGCGGCGTGGAAGCGAGTGTGATGAACAAGAGAGAGACTTAAAAACCCTGTCCAATACTAGCATGCCCATTCTCCATGCAATCGTTATGACCCAACGAATAGCTGGAAGCACACGTTTCCTAACTTGACTCTGGTAATTAACCGGCAAGGATTAGGTATATGCTGTGGGCAGAGGAATGCCAGATGTTGTTCGACATATTCACCAGATTGTTAGCAAACCTGTTTTACTGGCTGACGTATTTATTCCGCGTACCATTACTTCGAAAATTATTTTACAACCGGAATACCCTTATCGTCGGATTTTTTAATCGTGCGTAAGACAGCCAACCACTGTAGAGATTTCAGCAGTACCTCAAGGTAGTACAGGGAAGCAAATGTCATCTTCCCGTCGAAGGGCGGGGGAAGTGGTTAAGACCCCGTCGCGGTTGGCCGGTCTGGCGGCTCTATTTCTTCCTCGTCGAGGAAGCTTATTGTCGGACTGTCCGAGCGACCTTCATAACTTCTGTGTGGTCCTCTCATCGTGAACTTTGTAAACGTAATGGTGCGCGATTTCGTAATCTGCAAAAATGGCCCTGGTGAATAGTAATAGAGTTGTCAGCTGAGCACCACGCCCTAAGTGTTAACTGCTCTGCCTTCGAATTGTCCTGACCTCTGATGGTACCTCCTTGAGGATGGAAAATATGGCCAGTTTCTCCAAACACCGCTGAAAATTGAGACTTTGTGTCTTGCTTCCGAGATGTCGAGATGCCGCCAAAGAACACCAAATTTTCACCTGGGGTCGGTGGGCTATGCATAATGCGACGGGTCGTAACAGTCGGGAGACCGCCTCGGAGACCACTTTAATAAAGGAAATGGCTTTCCAGACCTCTTGTCTTCACTGCTTTTGCCGTTGTCTACCCGCTTGGTGCGCGTTTTTCTCAATAAAATGAATTAGATAGCCATTAACTGTGAAGAGGACTGGAAGGTGTTGTCGTTCAACCGTTTTGTCCATTAGGGTGTTGCAATTTATTTCAGTACGGACACGGCTACGTTTGTGAGACGGAGGGTAGTTGCTGTTGAAAAGCCGTACTTGTATCGTGTCGTTGGCTTTTCTGAATAATGAAGTCTCATACGAACACATCCACTAGCAGCGTACCTGCGAGACAATCGAAAGGCGAAACATAGTTTGGGACGTCCGCATTCTGCGATTTTTAATCAACAAATCCCAACTATGACATTATGATCAACAGCAGATCGTGTCAGCCGGCAGTGTTCGACAAACTTTAATCAACTTGCATGTCTTCCCTGCTTAATGCCAACAAATATCCAAAAAACCAAGCACTTAGACGCTTTTGTGAACAACTGCTGAGTGACCAGGATACTTGTTCACGATGAGATATCACATGATCTGTGAACGAAGGTCTAGTCGGTTTTAAGCAGTCGGATAGATGGCCGTTTGATGTGAGCTTCTGAATGAGCGAAAACGAATAGTCGAAAACGAACGCTTGCACACTATGACTTCTTAAATGAGCTCCGACGAAACCATTTTTTCTAACGGAAATATGGACATTCTTAGCGAATTCGCCACATTGACTCAGTCTTTTGTCTATATTTTTTACAAGGTACGGGCAGTGAAATGCAAAAATAGCAACCCAATCTCCCCAGCCATTTAAATACGCAGTTCATTCTTCCATCCAAATTGCGGAATAGAATTTTATAATCCGGATTTAATTAACGGGGCACTCGAATGAACGCTTCTGATTAGCAGTAAACTTATCAAAAAACACAATAAAGCATAATACTCGAAAGCTTTTCGTTATGAATAGACTAGCATTTGTGATATAACCACAAAGTGATGATCAGATAATCACTCGCTTTACTCCTCACGTATGTAATATATCCATGTAGTACCTACTCGACCGATTCTCGGTGCCGTCTTAATCACATGGATCAACATGACTATGCGGCTTCTTTTTGCCAACAACGCGGCATTTATAGAATGAGCTTATTCATTATGACGAAGCACCATTGCACATTATGTTCTTTCGTAATTCTTATAACATAACTTGACTACAGTCTGTGTTTTAGCCGTGGAGCAGTTTATGCATTAATCGAAACATGGGCCTCGTAGAAATCTGGTGGATTTTAGACGGAGTTTTCACACATGGGCATCATGAAAAAGAGGACTTTCGTTGTAGGCCCAGGTGAATATAAATTCGGACGGCTACATATTGCGAGGTGTAAATATAAAACAGCAAATAAGCCATCCGGGATTAAGAGCACATCACATTTATGCTACTAAGCAAACGCAGAACGATACTTTTGGACATGTATTCTATAAAATGCTTTTGAATTTATAAGAACATCAACAATCATTGAAGTGAGTATTTACTGTTTTCCCAACGCCGGCTTTGCAGAAACATTGAGAGTTCAGTTAAAAGTCGGAATCCTGGAGCGAATGAATTATTTTGGGATTGTGTCGTCCAATATTCTATAGAACAACCTAATATAATTTATACTTTCGGTCAAAAATTTATTTTACGCTTTCGGCCAACGTTTAATGAGATCCGCCAGACAATGCGTGCGTGCACTTTGTACTCTGTTAAAATGTTGCCGCCGCACATCACCTAGAGTATTTCGTAGTCTTGTGCAAGTGGAAGGCCATTGTCACAGTGGAGAATGCTCTTCCGAACTGCATGTCGGCCGTCCAGGAAATGATTATCCCAGATTAAAATTCCTAATTATGAAAACTGCGTCAAAACGTTGCGCTAGAGACCCTCATTTTCCTTTTTTATTCGCTGATTATATACATAGATAAGATGAATTTGTGGGGAGACCGAGTTCAATTGCCGTTTAAAGTTGTCTTTCGCGTCCCGACGTAAGATGGCAAAGGTGTCGTCCACGTAGCGCATCCAGAACTTCGGCTTGTAGGACTGGAAGATTCAAGCTACCAGTTCCTGCATGATCGCCTCAGCCAGATAGCCGGAAATCGGGGACCCCATTGGGGTTCCCTGGATTTGCTCGTAAATTTGACCATTAAAATTGAAATAAGTGCGTAGGCGGTAGTCCGGCAGTTGCATCACGTGCTTCAGCTTTAACGGGTTCCCCTCTCCGTCGTACTTTCTCCCCAGTAGGTCACTGATCACTTCCATGGCCAATTATTTCTGGATGGAGATGAATAGAGAGACGACGTCAAAGGATAGTCTCACCTCGTCGGGGGCTATTACAACCCCTTTGAGTTTTTCCAGGTAGTGTGTTAAAGATACGACGGTGTGTTCTGAGCCATCCGTCAGTCTCTTTTAATGCTTGGTGAGCCATTTAGCCAGTCCGTAGATAGGCGTGCCTTTCAGCGCTACAATGGGTCGTAGGGGATTATTCGGATTGTGGATTTTCGGCAGACCATAGAAACGCGCTAGGGCAGCGTCTTGCGGTTTCATCTCTCTCCGATCTTTCTCGGATATTAACTTTTGGTTCCTCATTTGGTTCAGGCTCTTGTTAATTTCGCCTACCAGTGTTTTCATTGGGTCGGTGTCAACGACCTAGTATGACTGGTTGTCGTTCAGTAGCTCTTGGGCTTTCGTCACGTACTCTGACTTGTCTAGGACCACGGTTGCCCGACCTTTGTCCGCTGGAACAATGATAATTCCTTCGTCATTCCTTACTTCCCTTATGGCCTTGAGCTCCGCTGAGGCGATGGTTCGGCGTGGCCTATGGGCTATGATGAGGGATGCGACTCGTTGGTGAATCGCGTTCTTGGAGTCTTCTGCGGCATCCGTTTTTGACAGGGCCACTTCTAGTGCAGCGATAAAATCTACTGGCTGTGCGTCTCCTGTGTTGTAGTCGGATTCATGTTGAAGCAAGTTAATTTGGTCGTCTGTCAGCTGTTTAGATGAGAGGTTGTGGACGGCTGACGGTTCGCGCACGGGTGCTTGTGCTTGTTTTAGGTTACGCACTGGGTCTTCTTCTTGTCTGGCTCCTCGTTTACCTTAATCAAGATCCAGCTCTTCAGGTTTCCCATTGTTTGCTCGTCCAGGTATGCTGCACATGTCGCTTTCTTACTTTCGATTTCCCTGTCGTATTTCCGCAGACAAATGTGACATTATTTGATGAAGGCCCTCAGTAGGCGTCGGCTGCAGCTCCAGGCGACCTCGAGGCCTAAGTCAGTTCTAGCTGGTGGTCTTAAAGAAACGCTCCTTGGCATAATATCCGACCTCAGGCAGATGTACAGAAAGGCCAATTGGACCCATGTAGATCCCTGTCTACAGGAATATATTGCCCAGTATCGCGCTCGATGAATCGCTTCGCGCCCGGAAGTCTCAGGGATATAAACGAAAAGGCTGACCCCAGGTGTAGAAATGGAAAAAGGAGATAAGGCATTCTCGGGGGAGGAAGATTTACTCATCTGACGTTTCTTACTCGTACTCGAGCACATCAACGGAGACAGGCCAAATGAGAAATACATGGTTTAAATGGGCCATTCGCGCTCCCGCCTGATAGGTCGATACCGCTCGCCTCTTATTGGCCTTCCTCTCGCGCGCAAGTGGTGCCTGATGGCCTCTTATGGCGCTGGTAGATCAATACTGCGGTTAATCGAGTTGGCATCTGATTGCCAGGCTTCGATTACTTCTCTTGCCAGCTTGCTTTCGGCTCGGCCGAGCACTTGGGCACCGCCAAAGTCGAACACGTGATTATTTTCTAGGCTGTGCATGACGACGTGCGAGCGTACATCCTTTCGATTTACGGCTAAGGCGTGCTCATGCACGCGCGTGCGCAGTCGTTTGTCCGTCATGCCACAGTAGTTGGCCAGACACTCTAGACATTTGACGCGATAAATGACGGCTGACGTGTCTGCAGGCGGTAGCCGGTCCTTGGGTAGCATGAGTAAGCAGCGGATGGTGGCCTCCGTTCGGTGTACAACGCCCACGCTTAATGGCCTGAGCATGCGCTCAGTGGCTTCGGAGACCTTTCTCACGTAAGGCAGGACAAGGAAGGTTGCAGGAATTTGCGTGTTCTCACGGTCGGCCCTCGTATGTCTTTGGCATAAGCATTTGTTTACGAAACTGCGCGGATATCCATTGGCCAGGAAGAGGTGCTATAGGGTATCACGCTGTTGTAGTGGAGAATTTTCTCCGTGTTTGTCGCTTTTCGAAAGACACCAGTCTGGAGGGTTTCGTCTTCTTGCATCGTTACCTGAACGTCGAGGAAAGGAAGCACTCCGTCTTTTTCTTCCTCCATGGTAAATTGAATTTGTGGGAAGACCGAGTTAAATTGCCGTTTAACGTCGTCTTTCACGTCCCGGCGTAAGATGGCAAAGGTGTCGTCCACGTAGGTCATCCAGAACTTAGGCTTTTAGGACTGAAAGACGCGAGCTACCAGTTCCTGCCTGACCGCCTCAGCCAGATAGCCCGAAATCGGGGAACCCATTGGGGTTCCCTGGATTTGCTCGTAAATTTGACCATTAAAATTGAAGTAAGTGCGTAAGCAGTAATCCGGTAGTTCCATCACGGGGATAAGGGGGGGAAGGGCCTTTGGCAGGAGAACGCAGATTAAGCAGTTATGGTTTGTGGACAATTTAAAATGCACAATGAATAATTCCCGATGAGATGGATAAATAAATGCCAACAGGAATTAGCGAAAGTTGATGTCGCCTGCTAGTTTGACTGGAGTCTAACAGTCACGTGTAAAGGTGGTGTGATTGTAACGGTCTTTTTCAAAAGCAAATCGTCATATAATCATGTTGTAAAGTACACAAACAGGACAACTACGGACCACAGCGGGATTGGGCATTGTTTTAGCAATCATTTAGGCATAAAAATAACCCAAGTCATAGTGGCAATCCGCCGCCGTTCGTAATTTTTGTCAGCAAATATGACTTCGCACACCGTTCACTGAAGCCATACAAAACTAATTTTACTTCGCGAGGCGTGCATGGAAATGCCGGCTTTCATATTCGGACAGCATAGCAAGCTGTTTTACACCTAGCATATCTGCGTAACTGCTGTCCCACCAGGCATATTTTACTGAGGTTAGGTGAGTATGCACCACCTAACTGAACATCGCATCTACCAATGGCGCAGTGAGAAGTAATTCCCTGAACAATTATATTAAGCAAAACCACAGCTATATGTCATCAAATGATCTTGAATTTTTGTAAAATATATTTGCGAAAAGACGGAGGAACAAGAAACGAGTGTCTGAACCACTGTTGGAAGGCGCTGCGGCAAAGTTATACAAGTATTACTGGAGAAACTATGAACAAATACGCTAAGAATCAACTGGAAGGCACCGTTATAAAGAAAGAGAAACTTAAGCGTAACCTGTGTCAACGCGCAGCCTTACGCGACACACTGGCGTAGGAGGAAAGACAAGAATAAGGCAGCTAGACGCAGTCGATGCGAAGAAAACGCAGAGAGGCATAGAATTCTGCGTTTCTTTAAACAGTGCATGAAATGAAACCACAAATTCGACCTCCGAAAGATCCCTGTCTGTACGTACACAACCGATATTATATGATCCTTAATAAAACATCATTTAAAGTATGATCACTTGGTCCCCAGTTTTGCCTGCCCGTCGAAAAGTTAATCAGTTGGAATTAGAAACCTAGTTCGTGAACCTCTGAAACCAAGCCAGCGCTCATTTGCTTTCGTCCAACATTCTCGATCGACACTGGTAAATTGCAGTTTTCAATACCTAAAAAGGCGCCAAAAGGTCAGGGATTTCTGACAAAAGCACGTTTGAGTTTTCAACATCACCATCGAGCGTTTCAGAAGAGCAATTGGCACATGCATTTACACATGCTTTCGATAAATTCTGATCGGGCCAGTACATTTATGCTGGAACGAGGTACAAACTGACACGTGTGAGCGATTCTAACAATCGATTACGGGTTTGAGAATACGAGGAGGGCGCAGGCGAGGTACTAAGTGACAGTGAGAGTTAGGTAGCGTCGTGTCACATGGGAGAGGACAAGGGCGCGGAGACATGCATACAGTTAATCGGACCTTGCCCAAGGTAGCCGCAGAGCTTGCAGGAAGTTCTGCGCGCACAGGACCGACCTCCGTAGTCTGAGAACAGTCGCTTCTGCTGTTGCTAGCAAGCGCTGACCCAGTCCCTTAGGATAGGTGGAATCTTGTAAATGCCACGGAAAGCTTCGTTGTGCTCTACACGATGCCCAGAATCAAAGATGTGCGCAAGGATGGAGCTGTGTGTGCTCTTATCTTCAAAAGGTCCGCCATTATCAGTAAACCATGGTTCTCGCAGTCTGATATGCGCTAGCAGTTCCCTGACAATTGCTCCCGCTGGGTATACAGGTATTGGGTATGACTGTCCAACCATCATCCCTTTCCTGCTGACTGCTGTTGGGGTGTTGCTGATGTTTTTGGTGAAAAGTCCTGGTGTAGTGTATGTTGTGGGCCAGGTGGAATGGTTGCACGCCTAGCTATGGGTCCGGCTGTGTCAGCCACCCACGCCCTTCCCCGCTTCCGGTCCTCTTGACTCTGTCTTGGCACCGAGTCCAGGAGAGGAGTGGCGAATACAGAATGCGGTACATGTTGCGCAAGTCTACTGTCATGATAAGTGGATTCGCGTGAAAGTCGCGTACCTGCTGCACCCAGCTGTGTAGCACACGGTGGACGACATCGTAGTCGGCGGCCGAACTGTCTTATGCTCTTTACTCCACCTTTCCTCATCCATGCCGGCAGACGTCCTCGCCGACTAGTAAGATCAGTATAGTCTGCTCCACAAAGGTAAGTAAAGGAGTAAATGCACATGGGGGTGGTCTCAGCTAATAGTCTGTCATACCTTCTCGGCCTAAGACGGGGTTGGTCGAAAACACTACTTGAACTCTTGCTGCTGGGATGGTCCGTGAAACAACTTGTTCAAGGCGCCTTCTCATGAGTCCATTTGCGGCGTCCTCTTGCTGAGCGATCGAAAAAACCCACAGCACTGACTACCAAAAAGACAACGCTATTTCTGAAAGTCCGTTGTTTAGGGGGGAGGGGTGGGGCTCTGCGAATGGACTCTTTATAAGACGCCTTGGTTAGCCTGTCTGTCAAACCTTCCTCGCAGTAAATGTTATAATACTATTCTCTACCAGATCTATTCCAGTCGGCCATTGTAAAAGTGGGTCGCATACCTTTACAACATCAATGTGCACCGCCTCCTTCACGCCCTCCTACAGAGCAGGTTGTATTAATTGCACGAGTCGTCGCCTATCCTAGCGGATGTGAGAACACCTCCAGGTATGGCAGGAGAAAGGCGAAACTAGGAGCGTAATCAGCGACATTCGCCTGTATGATCTTGATCCCGGGCATCGTCTGTACTCCAGTGAATCTTTTCGCATGACTTATAATGTCACATCAAGCGACTTTAAACTACTAGGATAGCACCCATTAGCAACAACAGAAGTGTCAGCCGTTGGAATATATTCGGGCAATTGCCTATGCTAATACATGTCCTAGATTCTGGTTACGCATCTGAGCGACTTCTTAATTGAAAGGATAGTAATTTGCTCGCGAGAGTTTTAATAAACAGATTTAGCCGAACTTGAAAATTTATTTTTGTCCGATATTAACCATGAGGATCAACCTCCCAACACAAAAGGTTACTTTAAGAAAACCAGAAGTTTTATCAATTCCTATACGTCAAATTAGGGTATCTGTGCGATTGTGGGCCCTAAAGTGCAGTAATAACGCAGATTGCGACCACTTGGATTAAATGGGATGAAGTAGTTTTACCGTTTGGATAATTTTACTTGATGTCACATAAATGACCACCACCGAATGATCACTTCTAGCCTTAAACATCTGAAACACCACTTGTCGTGTAGCTTAGCTTCTGTGTATACTTGATTCAGAAATAGAACGAGCAAAACAACAATAGTTGCATTACAAGATCAGTATTTATATGGGATTTCATAATCGATAAGCGGTGTCTAAAAGTAAGTAAAAACAGTAGAAATGGCCTTAGCGTAGATAGAAAGGCATGCTCTTACGCTAACGATAGAGAAATATTAGCATTGTTTCGGAGCGCGAAAGAAACGGTCAAATTTTTACTTGGCCTCCACGTGCAAAAATGCAAAGTACACAGATATCCGTCAACAGAGTGCATTAATAAATCACGTCTTAAAGAATTAACTTATTAGAGAAAGTTTTTCTATTGATCAAAGACATATTCGTCGCTGACTTTCGTTGTGGACAGCCATTTATCTTGAAAATGAAGTTTTATGTTTGAATGAGTCTTAACACGTGAAGAAACGACCATCTTCGTGAAAAGGGGCGTTCAATCACTCATTAATTCGGTCAATGTCTTCAAGAATAATCGTGCCCTAAAATTCTCAACAGACAGGTAATTCGGAATCTGTTCTTATGGACGATCGGGTAAAAACACTGAAAACCGTGAAGTATTCAGCAATATTTCGAGGCCGATCTGAAACTCAACGTAATCAAAAACGAACAAAAAGGGCAATTTAATTTAACGGAAGAAAAGTTCTCTCTGTAAATAGAAAATGGTAGGGTAAAGAAAGAGCATAAAATCATCGAAAGTCTTTTTCGCCAGAACGGGTATCGTGATTGATGAATTGCTAAGATCATGGCCGAAAGACTGCAAAAGTCGCCGACCCTGACGTCAAGCAAGAAAAGGCTCTTCATCAGGGTCCCACTTTAGGAGGATGCCCCAAGTGAACTTTTAAGAAGACGCTTAACTCAAGCTGCATCACAGACCTTGCCAGCAGCTGACACCCGCGCACTGTTCTCTAACAGTCCCCTCCTATACGGAGAGGGCAAGGATAAACTACCAGCTCAGACCACCTCTACGTGTATTTACTCCTTCACCTGCTCCCCTGGAGCAGAATATATTGGCCGCACGAGGCGGCGTTCATCCAAAAGAATAAAAGAACATCTTCCAGCAAGGCTAGGAAAGGCTCATATGAACGGCTTGATTCTCGCTCACATGGTGGACACAGACGACCGTGTAGACGCCAGAGAGGCCTTCAGAGTTATTTACAAAGTCCCATTAAGCTATCCAAAATGATTTGGGCGGCGCTTGTTGGTTACGGCAGATGCGGCTACAATCAGGCTACGCGGACCGGTCCTATGCGCACAGAAGAACTTTATACAGGTCCCACATTTGCCATGGTTTAAAGCCAGCAAGCCAGATACCCGCATGTAATTAAATTCACCGGGACACACCTTCTCCCTGACGCTGACTGGATTTGTGGTGCTTTAATATCCCCCTCCAACCCCTCCCAAAACCCGAGCTACAGCTAAATTATTTACTTGCCCGTGTCTTTTTCATTACTTCGGTATAAATATAAATTTACAGGCCTGAAGAGACTTTATTGAAAGCAGATGAATGCTCGCCAAACTGCCTTTAGAAAATGGTATGTTTACGATCACGCCTGTCAGTTCTATTTTTATTTATTAGGCACCGACCGGTCTCTTGGTATGTTATCTTATGAAAAGCTTTAATCCTACGACATCCGCATCGGTGAAATCAATAAAAATCCAGCTTATATGGTTGAAAATTATTTCATTTACTTCAAGCGAGTCAAAACTTAAACGAATCATAGGAAAACTCTTTTGGAATCTTCACTCAGAATGTAGGCAGTTGTCAAACCGTCATACATGAAATCACACTAAAGGGTGTTTGGATGTACACTTATAAAAACAATACGACTAGACGTGATGTTACATCTGCTTTCCTATTTCCTAGGTTTTTAGTATAGGAATACATTCTGCACATATAAGAACGTAGTTTACTAAGTTAGAGCCATTTCTGACGTTTTCGGGATTTTGCGCTTCTCAAAATAAATGGGCATTTCTAAACAACGCAACACTGCCTTTAATCTTTAATTTATTTTTTAAAGTCTTTAAAACTTATTTGAGGGAAACGTCGGTGTTGCATCTTCGAAACCCCCATATGTTACAAGAAAGGAAAGCATATCAAAATGTCGGAAAACTGAAACAATTACGGGGTTTGCGCCTGAGAATTCGACAGCAGATTTCCTTACTGATTCGAAATACAAAGTATCACTTGCTGCCAAAACTGACGTTAAATAAAGCAGAACGGTTGTTAAAAACAAATTATCCCAGGATAACTGTCGATTTAACACAAAAAATCTCATTTGGAAATTCGTCTGACAAAACGAACAAAAACATGTAAGCAATGAATGTGTTCTGAAGGCAGTTCTTACCCCGATGATTGTGCTTCAATTTATTTAACCTCCAAACACATAATATATTTTCTGATCGAAAAGCGCCTGCAAAGTAGACATCGAGATTCGAAAATAAAAACGAATCAAGCTAACTAATTCGAATTTTTTGAACCCTGCTTCGTAGACAGCGGATGTGCATCACCAGTCAGGCAAGCCATAAACTTGAATGTATGATATTTTGCGCGGCCTTATCTTCAGGGGTCCTGTTTCACACGTAAAGCAAACACTCTAGCACTGTGTCCCAAGCGTCAAAAACCGTGATCTGTCCCATTAGCCAAAAACAGTGCAGGTAGAGGTTTTCATCAGTAAAAAGATGAGCAGGTGGCGAGCGTACGTAGTGTTCGATAAATTCCCTACTGATTCCCAACACTTTCGTAACTTGAGATATATCTTATTTTAAAGATGTAAAACTATTCTTTCTTGGGCCCATTTTGTAATACAACACGTCGTGCTAGAATTCTATGCTTAGAAGGATGTCTGTCATTTATTTTAATAAACTCTGTAATTATAAAATTTAGAACATCACTAGATGCATATTAATAAAAGATTTTATCTTGCCGTTTATTAACGTTTATCGTGAAATATGCAACATCGTCCATCTTAACTATGGAATCTGACAAGTCATGCATGGCACCCTTTGACTGCATAAAACGATAAGCTATTAGTTGACGTATGTTTAACTTTTAAGTTGATCAGTAGTGGGTGCCTTGCAATCCTGCGTTGTGGGCGTTCGAACGGTTTAACGGGTAAGTTTTCTGTTTTACGCAGTATGTAAATATATCTTAATCCGTTCTCTGAATAAAAATGAACATCCGATAACGCAATAGTTATTAAGACAGTTCAACAAGAAATGTGTAAACAAACTGACAGTCCTTGGACGTCGCCAACAAGCATGTTTATTAAACCGCTGATTAATAGTTGGTATCCTCACGGCGATTAAAGAGTCATAAACAACATTAACATTCCAAAATGATGTCCGTTTCGTCGCCTTGAAGACTTTGCCGGAGCTCTCTTTGGAAGGACCGTTTTCTCGACGGTCAACTTGGGTCAGACATTTAACCGGACTCCAGCACTACTCAGGAAGTGCGTGGAGCGGCCCTACCAGTTCCTTTTGGTTTGCTCAAGTTTGTTTGCATGGCGATTAATCTACGAAACGAGTCACATACATCCCACTATATCATTTATCACGTATTATGCGATCTCTCTTATTTCTGTTCAGTCATATATGTAACAAACAAAGGTAAGCGTATCAAAAAGTGGGAAAACTGAAAAATCAAGCAGCTATAGGAGAACTATCGAAACTTTACAGTAAAAACAACCACAGTCTTGTAAACACGGCACTATTAAATGCACTGTTCAGTAGTTGGTACACACACAATAGTGTCGTATAAAATTGGTGCTATATAGATTATCTGAAGGGAGCCGAAATGAGTGTCAGTTTTTACCCACAACAAAATTGACGAAATAGGTAAATTGACAAAGCAAACTCTACTAAAATATAGACAGTAGCATCGTATACACAAATAAGTGTTCGGACAGAGAATTAAGATGATGTGGTATTTGGATGCATAGTGGTATACTAATTCAGTTTGCCTTATAAAACTTGACGAATGTGCACCTATCAATATCCTACCCATACAAACGAGGATGTGAGTTTATAGGAACTAGTTGATAGGAAGAAGAAGAAGAAGAAGAAGCGGAAAAAGAAGAAGAAAAAGAAGAAGAAGAAGAAGAAGGGGAAGAAGAAGAAGAAGCAGAAGAAGAAGAAGAAGAAAAAGCAGAAAAACAAGAAAAACAAGAACAAGAAGAAGAAGAAGAAGAAGAAGAAGAAGAAGAAGAAGCGGAAGAAGCGAAAGAAGAAAAAGAAGAACAACAAGAAGAACAAGAAGAACAAGAACAAGAGCAAGAAGAAGAAGAAAAAGAAGAAGAAGAAGAAGCGGGAAAAAAAGAAAGAAGACTTGGAAGAAGAAGAAGAAGAAGTAGAAGAAGAAAAAGAAGAAGAAGCGGAAGAAGCGGAAGAAGAAAAAAAAGAAGACGAAGAAGCGTAATAAGCGAAATAAGCGGAAGACGTGGAAGAAGAAAAAGAAGAAGAAGGCGGAGAAGAAGAAGAACAAAGACAAGAAGAAGAAGAAGAAATAAAAGAAGAAGAAGAAGAAGAATAAAAAGAAGAAGAAGAAGAGAAGGAAGAAGAAGAAGCGGGAAAAGATGTGAGAAGAAGAGAAGCGGAAGAAGAAAAAGAAGAAAAAGAAGAAGAAGATAATGCTGATGCTGATGATGATGATGATGATGATGATGATTATGATGATGATGATGATGATGATGATGATGATGATGATGATGATGATGATGATGATGATGATGATGATGATGATGATGATGATGAGATTATTCACTAAAGGGGTTTATCCGCCTGAGGTTAAAGATTCCAACTTAAACTTATCAGAGAGTGTTTGATGCAAGCATTACAGGAAAACGTACATACAAATGCCTACATTACTAGGCAAGATTGAAGTTTGTTACTGACAAAACACTACGCAAGATTACGTACAATCCGATAGAGGCACAATAACAACGCCAAATCTCGGATATGTCGCTATTCGACACGCCGAAGACAGTAGGCTACTGTGGTTGCCGAGCATCTTCCCACACATGACACAGGCATTTCATTAATGTGGCCTATCTGATAGAATTTAACAGTTCTGCGGCTAGCGTCTGAGAGTTTGACAGTAGATTCGCGTATTGACTCGAAATACAAAGCATCACTTGCTGGCAAACCTGACGTTAAATAAATCAAAACGATTAATAAACCGAACTAAATCATCCCAGGAAAACTGACGACCTAAAATAACAAAACTTATTTTCGAATCAGTGTGACGATATGCACAAAAAAGCAGCCGTTATTGCAGCAGTAAAATTCCGTGTTCTGAAAGCAGTTCTTACCACAATGATTGAGCGTAAATTAATTTAACTTCCAATCACATAATACATTTTCTGATCGAAAAGCGCCAGCAAAATAGACATCGAGATTCGAATATAAAAACTAATCAGTCTAACTAAATTGAATTATTTGAACCCCGATTCGTAGACAGCCGACGTACATCACAAGTCGCCTAAGCCATAACATTAACTGTATGATATTTTGACCGGATTTATCTTCGGGGATCCCGCTTCAAACGTAAAGCAAACACTCAAACACAGTGTCAAAAGTGTCCAAAACCGTAATCTGTCGCTTTAGCAAAAGCAGTGCAGGTAGAGGATTTCATCAGTAAACAGAAGAAAAGGTGGCGAGCATACGTAGTTTTCGATAAATTATCGTCGGGCCAGTACAGTTATTTAGGAACGGGGTAGAAGTAATGCATGTCAGCGATAAGAGAAATCGATAAAAGTTCTCCTTAAAACATAGGCGGGGTGTGGGATAGCGGGGGAGGGGGGAGCGGGTACTAGTAGTCATTGTCAGGGGTGGGGTGAGAGCGGAAGTGCGCGGAGGGAGTTGCATCGTTAGTCGACCTTCGACCACTGTAGGCTCGGAGCCTGAACGTGGTTCTTCTGTGCGCATAAGATTGGCGTTCGTAACCTAGTGGCGGCCGCTTCCACTGTCGCTAACAGGCCATGGCCTAGTAGCTCAGGGTAGCTAGATGGGACCTGCTAAATCACACGAAAATCTTCGTTGGGGTCCACACGATATCCGGAATCGACAACATGCGCGAGAATGGCGATGCGTATACTCCTTGTTTCGCCTTTTCCCTTCCATGCCGGGAGGTGTTCGCGTATTCTCTTGGATAAGCGCCGACTCGTGCGACCAATATAACCTGCTCCACGGGAACAAGTGGAGGAATATATGCACATTGAGGTGGTCTGCGGTGGCAACTTATCCTTACTTTCTCCGCGTAAAATAGGGTTTGTAGATAGTGATATTTGAAACATTGCTGTTGGGAAGGTTTGCGAAACAGCTTGATCTAGGCGTCTCATTTGCTGTTCACTCGTCGCCTCCCCTTCGAAAAGGACAAAGTTATCTCTTCGGCGGTCGGTGTGGCGGGTTTGACCGGTCTTTCGGCAATGTTCTTTGCAATGAACCTGCCAGGATATCCGTTTTCTCGGAGGAAGTCCTGGATTTTTCTGAGCTTCTTCTCGGTGCTATCTGGTGAGCAAAATTTCCAACTCTTTGTGCTAAACTTTGAACTAGATTTTGCTTTTGTTGGAGTCGTAGGAAACTGGCGAATTTCGTGTATTATCCAGATCAGGTTTTCTTCCGAATGATCCTTCTTTGGACACTTCCGTTAGATTTCCTCCTTAAAAGATCATTTAATAACGCGAGCGAACCGGCCGTCTCGACCTTCAGCGTGAATTTGATCGATGGATGTGCCTGATTTGTCGCATCTAAGAAAGTAGCTACGTCCATTTCTGCAGTGGCAATTGTAGAAATCGCTTAGTTGGGACCTCTCCAATTTGCCCATGAAGACATCGGCTAGGAGATGTTCATGGTGTGAGCCCATAGCAATGCCGTCTATTTGTCTATAGAATTGGCTGTCAAATATGAACAGCACATTTAATGTAAATCTTAGTAATTGTTCATTTAGTGTCTTCGTTGGAATTCCCATTTCCTGCTGACTGGCAGATAGAAAATCACTTATGTAATCAACTGTCTCGGTGACCGAAACGTTTGCAAAAATTGATGACACGTCTAGCGAGAACATCAGTATGCCATTGACGTTAAGGTCTTTGATGTCGTCTATGAATTCAAAGGTATCTCGGTAGCCGCGTGGTGATATCTGACGCTGTACGGACTTGAGTTTCTCTGCTAGCCACTTCTCTATCGCATGATACGGAGAGTTTCGCAAGCCTAAAATCGGACGGACTGGCAGGCCTTCCTTATGGATCTTAGGTAGACCATATAGTCGAGGGATATGGGTGCTTACTGGTCGGAGGTGTTCTAGGTCACGGTCGCTTATGCGAGCCCCTGTGTGGAGCCTTCTTTGACAGTCTGACAGTTTCGTCTCTACTTCTTCCTTGCAATCCTTTTCTTTGTCTACCTTCCTGAATTTAATCTGGTCTGATATTATGGACTGCATCTTCGCTACGTAGTCCAATCTGTCCATTATAACAACGCCTGTTTCTTTGTCCGGTCCAGTTACCAAGAAATCTTTGTTCTATCGAAGTTCTCTTAACTTTTCCACATGTGCTGTAGTCAGCAATCCCCGACACTTTTGTCCCTTGTTCAGATACTAATAACTGCAATTCACCAATGTTGATTAAAAGTGTTGGATACTGTCTGTGGAAATGGGCACGTTATCATGGCTTTGGTTCCATAGGTTTTCGAACTGATTTTCCGATTCTAACTAATTAATTTTCGACGAGGTATGCAAAACTTAGGAGCAAGGGATAATGCTTCAAGTGATGTTTTATCAAGTGTCATATAAGACTGGTTGTGTACGTATCGACTTGGATTTTTGGAAATCGTGCTTGTGGTTTCATTTCATGTACACTTCTAAGAAGCGCAGAACTTGCTGCCTCTCCGCGTTCTCTTCCTATGGATTGAGTGTAGCTGTCGAACTTTTGTCTCTCGTCGTCTAACGGGGTGTCTAGGACGGCTCTGCGTTGACACACGTGACACTTCAGTTCTGCTATCTTTACGAGGGTACTTTCCATTTGATTCTCAGTGTATCTTTTCAGGGTTTCTGTGGTAAGAATTGTACGGCTACGACGCAGCGCTCACCTTAGTTGTTTGGATACTCGTTTCTCTCAATGCATTCCCAGATAAACTTGGCAATTACGTTCGCCTCCACAAGCTCAGTGTTGAAACGTAGGTACCCATTGAGTGCCCTCAACACTGAGGGATCTTTGCACAGTTTTAGAGTTGCGAAAATTCCCATAGCAGTAGTCAGAAGAACAGGTGGCGAGCGCACGTAGTTTTCGATGAATTCTCGTCGGGCCAGTACAGTTATTTAGGAACGGGGTAGAAGTAAAACATGTCAGTGGTAAGAGAAATCGATAAAAGTTCTCCTTCAAACATAGTCGGGGTGTGGGAATGTGGAGGACGAAGGGGGGGGGGTACTAGTAATCATTGTCAGGGGAGGGGTGAGAGCGGAAGTGCGCGGAGAAAGTTGCATCGTTAGTCAACCTTCGACCAGTGTAGGCTCGGAGCCTGAACGTGGTTCTTCTGTGCGCATAAGATTGGCGTTCGTAACCTAGTGGCGGCCGCTTCCACTGTCGCTAACGGGCCCTTGCCTAGTAGCTTAGGGTAGCTCGATGGGACCTGCTAAATCACACGAAAAGCTTCGTTGGGGTCCACACGATGTCCGGAATCGACAACATGCGCGAGAATGGCGATGCTTATACTCCTCGTTTCGCCTGTTCCCAGCCATGCCGGGAGGTGTTGGCGTATTCTCATGGATGAGCACCGACTCGTGCGACCAATATAACCCGCTCCACGGGAACAAGTGGAGGAATATATGCACATTGCGGTGGTCTGCGGTGGCAACTTATCCTTACCTTCTCCGCGTAAAATAGGGTTAGTAGAGAATGATATTTGAACGCTTGCTGTTGGTAAGGTTTGGGAGACAGCTTGATCATGGCGTCTCCTTTGCAGTTCACTCGCCGCCTCCCCTTCGAAAGGGACAAAATCATCTCTTCAGCGGTCGTTGTGGCGGGTTTGACCGGTCTTTCGGCAATGTTCTTTGCAATTAACCTGCCAGGATATTCGTTTTCTCGGAGGAAGTCCTGGATTTTTCTGAGCTCCCTATCGGTGCTATCTGTTGAACGAAAGTTCAAACTCTTTGTGCTTAACTTTGGACTAGATTTTGTTTTTGTTGGAGGGGTGCGAAACTGGCGAAGTTCGTGTACTGTCCAAATCAGGTTTTCTTCTGATAGATCCTTCTTAGGACACTCCCGTTAGGTTTCCTGCTTAGAAGAACATGTAGGAACGGTAGCAAACCGGTCGTCTCTATCTCCAGCGCGAATTTGATTGGCGGATGTGCCTGATTTGTCGCATCTAAGAAAGTAGCTACGTCCATTTCTGCAGTGGCAATTGCAAAGATATAATCAACATATCGTCCGTAATTTTTAAGCTTATCGATCTGATCGCTTAGTTGGAACCTCTCCAATTTGCCCATGAAGACATCGGCTAGGAGATGTCCATGGTGTGAGCCCATAGCAACGCCGTCTACTTGTCTATAGAGTTGGCTGTCAAATAGGAACTGCACAATTAATGTACATCTTCGTAATTGTTCATTTAGTGTCTTCGATGCTTGTACTCCTCGTTTCGCCTTTTCCCAGCCATGCCCGGAGGTGTTCGCGTATTCTCTTGGATGAGCACCTACTTCTGCGCCCAATATAACCCGCTCCACAGGAACAAGTGGAGGAATATATGCACATTGCGGTGTTCTGCGGTGGCAATTTA